ACAAACACGCTTCTTTCCCACCCCTCTCACAGTTACAATTAAATTTACCTCCCAGAATCTGGGAGGCACGTGACCAGCCGCAGCCAGGGTCTCTCCCAGATGACAGAAGGAGAGACCCTGGGAACGAGATTGTGACTCGTCCTGTATTTTAGTGTTTAAAATTCAGGAAGATTAAAAAATATCCTTTTGTATTTGGTGCATTGGAAAGTTCCCTGTGTATTTACGGGAAAAAAAGAATTCTACATCAATAATTTGATCGAACAGAAATTCAAACCAGTTTATACCATTAACATTATTATTATTATTTACAAGGGATCTTCAGCAATCATCTTTTAATATTAAACAGTTTACTGCAAGCCTTGCGTTTTCTGGGGGACTTGGGCTCTTTGGGGCCCCGCACTAGCTCACTGTTTAGGCCCCGCGATGATGTTGCTATTTGTTGGATGCACTGTTAGTGCCATCATTGTGACTGCAATGTTTAAAGGATGGCTCACACTATTAAAATTTCTGTGATTTTTAGGTAATTGACTTTAAGTTTATACTACGATCCTACTGTGATCACAGAAACTTTGACAGTGTAAACCATCCTTAAGAGCATATTAATTAAATATTGTTCACATTTATTTGTTTTCCATTTTAGGATATATTTAGTACAGTGTATTAAAGATTATTATTCACATTAATTTGTTGACCATTAATTAAAGTACATATTGTTTCTTGCTTCCTCACTCTAAATTTTGTCATAGAATATGCTAAAAAATAATGTTTCTCCTGTGCCGATTATTGCAACAGGCAATTTAATAGTCTGTTTTGTTGAAGTACAACATCTTACACATGAATACTATAATACTTTGAGTTGATCGGTTTGATCATGAAACAAATTTTCCCAGCCCCATGTGGGGAATATTCCCTTTTTTGACCAATGGTGTGGTGTCGCTGGGGTGTGGATTTTGACAAAATGTTTCAGAAAAATGTCAAATCCCTGCCCCTTGCCCCCCCCTGCCCGCCCCCTGCCCCCTCGAGCTTAACATTGATAGGTGCATTAAGTGAGGATATCCAGTGTAACATCCACGGATGATGGATCTCAAACTAATACAGTCATATTCCACCTAAGGATGTTCCGGTGACACAGGAATTTTGCCCCCCCCCCTCCCCAGGACATTTGCCCAAATATTCCTAGGAATATTGTCCCTGGGGTGCGAAATATCCAAGGAATAATGCCCCCTGGGGGCGAATACCCTAGGAGTATCGCCGCCCCTTAGAAAAATTGCCCCTCCCCCGTATAAATTTTGACCTAAACACAAAACGATTGCAAGTTGAAAAGAGTGTTGAAATGATTTATTTATTTATTACAATAAGGAGACAAATTAAATTACATACTAGGCATTCTAGGCCAGTTAGCATCTGGTGGTGCGCACAGTTGGCAGAATCACGCAATTTGAAAATATTTAATATATTGAATAATGCACGATCAATTTATACGACAAAATATTTCTGGGGCTAAAATTGGTATGACTAATAAGTGCAAACTAAGACCATCTATTTAGTGTATATTTTGAAATTCGGTCAATTCCATCATGTTAAGTTTGTCAAAAAATGCAATGATAATGTGTTTCAGTGTTTACAACATAGCCATTAGGAAAATAACAACACACTGAGGCGAAGGCAACCAAGTTCAAATTTGGCAAAAATATTAATAATAGTATTGTTAATAACAATGAAACTAAACATATTTAATTTCATCTATAAACGCGATAATAAATTTATAGCCTAGCCTTAACTGGTGTTGGTAGTATAGTGGCTACTAAATACCATAAACATGATCTCTACAGTATATAAGAATTACCTAACCAATTCAATTAATAATTCAATCAATGTCAATGACTAATTTTGTAAATATTGCATTCAGTAGAGGCAAGTAGATTTTAAGTGCTCTTTATAATAAATTAAACGGTCTGATTATAAAAAAAACATAGAGATTATGTACTGAATGTGTCAGTCAAAAAAGAAAAGTTTTGACAATACCAATAATTACAAAAACCACCATGGTGATTACCTTTTAACAATCAGTGTTAACACTGCATGGAAATGCAAAATATGCATGGTGTGCTGTGAAGCATCATAAGTCTTATTGATCTACTGTAAGCCCTTTCGATACATGTAATTGTAAATTTGTATTATCAATTTTGAATTGATACTGATTTCAAATGACTAAAGCCAATCATGTAATAATTATCCCATGCAACTCTTAGGAAGTGAGAAACTTTTTAAAAGGAGGGCGAAAACCCTAAAGGGAAAGTGAAGTTTCTAAAGGGGGGGCGGGGGGCAAATTTCCTAGGAATTTCACATGGGCGGGGGGCAAAATCGGGACACCGGATCAAGATACGGGTATAGTAGCTGTTATATACAGCAAAATATAGACATCTAGCACTATACTGAACTATACAGTATCTGATAAAAAAATTTCAGATATTACTGAAACTTTTGTTATACAAACCGTCTATTTTGCATTAGAAGGTTATGTGAAACAAACAACTGCGGTAGTCGATCTACCGTACACTGTTGTACATGTGACAAATTATAAGTTTTCTATACTGCTCTTTTTTATATATTGTCTGATGTTCCTTGCCACATATTAAACAGAAATGGACTATTTTATGAGAAAAAGTTACTGATCTATTGTCCATCTAACAGTATCCGGTATACAGTACTGTATGATTATTACCTGGTAGATTACTATCTAGTATCCAGCAAAGCAGTACCAGGCACATCCCTAATTCCCCCTATTGAGGAACTTGTACTTCTTAAGGGGTCAGTTGATTTCATGCCCTTGGGGTAAGCAGGGTGCGATAATTTACATATTACTTACAGTAGATACTATTTTTTCTGTGTTGCTGTAATGTACTCAGGTGAATATGATGCTTGTGATGTTACTCTGAGTGTATATCCACACCAGGCAAGCTAAATATGACTGTCCTCGGTAGGAATCGAACCTACAACCTTTGGAATACTAGTCCAATGCTCTGCCAACTTAGCTACGCGGTCAGGTCGGTTCGAGAGTGGGATATTTCGGAACATTATCTAGTTGCTTTGATATCAATGTTATCTAATAGTAATCATGATTTTTCTGTGTTGGTGTAATGCACTCAGGTGAATATGATGCTTGTGATGTTACTCTGAGTGTATATCCACACCGGGCAAGCTTGAAAATTATGCCTGTCGACGGTGGGAATCGAACCTACGACCTTTGGAATACTAGCCCAATGCTCTGCCAACTGAGCTACGCGGTCAGGTCGGTTCGAGTGCGTGATATTTCGGAACAGAATCTAGTTCCTTCGATATCAATGTAATCTGACTAGTAATGATATTTTTTATGTGTTGGTGTAATGTACTCCTGAGTACATTACACGAAAACACTACTAGATTATATTGATATCGAAGGAACTAGATTCTGTTCCGAAATATCACACACTCGAACCGACCTGACCGCGTAGCTCAGTTGACAGAGGATTGGGCTAGTGCTGTATTCCAAAGCTCGTAGGTTCGATTCCCACCGTGGCCAGGCATATATTTCTCAAGCATATCCGGTGTGGAGATACACTCAGTGCAACATCACAAGCATCATATTCACCTGAGTACATTACACCAAGACAGAAAAATATATCATTACTATATTACATTGATATCGAAGTAACTAGACTCTGTTCCGAAATATCACACACTCGAACCGACCTGACCGCGTAGCTCAGTTGACAGAGGATTGGGCTAGTACTGTATTCCAAAGGTCGTAGGTTCGATTCCCACCGTGGCCAGGCATATATTTCTCAAGCTTATCCGGTGTGGAGATACACTCAGTGCAACATCACAAGCATCATATTCACCTGAGTACATTACACCAAGACAGAAAAATATATCATTACTAGATTACATTGATATCGAAGGAACTAGACTCTGTTCCGAAATATCGCACACTCGAACCGACCTGACCGCGTAGCTCAGTTGGCAGAGCATTGGGCTAGTATTCCAAAGGTCGTAGGTTTGATTCCCGCCGTGGACAGGTATATTTTTCAAGCCTGACCGGTGTGGATATACACTCGGAGTAACATCACAAGCATCGTATTCACCTGAGTACATTACACCAACACAGAAACAATATCATTACTAGATTACATTGATATCGAAGGAACTAGATTCTGTTCCGGAATATCACGCACTTGAACCGACCTGACCGCGTAGCTCGGTTGACAGAGGATTGGGCTAGTACTGTATTCCAAAGGTCGTAGGTTCGATTCCCACCGTGGACAGGCATATTTTTCAAGCTTGCCCGGTGTGGATATACACTCAGAGTAACATCACAAGCATCATACTTACATACTGTTGGTACTAATTAAGGCTCTTCCAAGCCCAAGGTGTTCAAAACCGTAATTTAGTTGGTACATATATGTAAATCTGATATGTCTTGGCATAAAACATGATTGGACTTATAGGTTTAAAGAAAGGTTGATTCAATGGACCTATTCGCTAATGAGCAAAATTTTGATCTAGACAAGTCTAGAAAAAAATGTCATCACAGCGTGAAAGAGCATCACAAGTTTAGTAATATTCGGAAGTTTCGTTGCGAAAGTTGTAAAATGTGGATAATATAGCCCTGCGAAGTTTGCCGTTTTTCAGTCATTTTGTATTATACGCACGGGAAATTGTGCCTTTTTTCAGAAAGCGGTACCAATATCCCGTGCGCAATAATTTTTAGTTAGTTTTTAGCTTCGTCTGAAGGAAAGGCCATTCTCTTTTTGTCTGCCATACCACATTGTCGAAATGGTATGGTACAATGACATGCAAATATGTTTTCGTCCCATTGCACGTGCCTAACATGTTGTGCAATAACTTTTCTCATATTGCATCATTAATTCATGTTGCAACTGCCTGTCAATTATTTGGCCACTTATTGAATAGGCTATTTGATCCAAAAGACGTACCACCCCCATCGTAGTCAATGGTTTTACTAACTATGCCCGAAAAAATTATGTGGTTAAACAGATCCGTTTGGCTTATGAATTTCTGTTAATAACATTTACACCCCTGAAGAATTTCAGTTTTTACCAGACTGTAATGAGTGCAAGTCCTCGGCCAAACAAATGAAATATGTCTAGGATGTTTTTGAGTCTGCCGTATGTTGTTTCGATGTGCCATGCACCCGTCCACGGCAGAGAATAGTCTCATTAAAAATAACTGGAATCAGTGCTTCTCATCCGCAACATATTTTCTGCAATATGGATCATTCTAGCAAACATCCATACCTCCCTCATGCAAGAAAACCTCCCTACCCATTTTTGATGTTACTACACTAACCACGGGCATTAGGACCAATAAGATTCGACAACAATAGTATTCTATCTAAATAGCAGCGAAAATAAATTGTACGGCACTTGAACTGTTCAATATCTTGCTTGACAGTGCTTCTACATCCATAAAACATTTACATATTATACAAATATTGTATATTTTCAAGATCCTCCATATTTATTTACATTAGAACCGACAGGGCTTCTACATCCATAAAACAGTTACATATTACACAAATATTGTATATTTTCAAAATCCTCCATATTTATTTATATTAGAACCCAAGCTTTCACGGCTCACACGAAATATTACGTCGGTGATTTTCACTAATAATAAGAGGGTAGGATCGTCCAATTATGAAGCGAGAGGAAACCATGCTTCCATATATGACACGAACGTGTCCCCAACTTCCTTATATTGCACAAACGTGTTTCCAAAATATTTTATCGAGACCGTTATGATGTCATAAGATTCCTCACGCTCGGAACGATTTGAACAGGTCACGTGTGACAACGCCCACTTTGATTCTACCCTCTTATTATTAGTGAAAATCACCGTCGTAATATATCGCGTGAATCGCGAAAGATTAGGTTCTAATGTAAATACAGTAAATATGTCGAATTTTGAAAATATACAGTATTTGCATAATATGTAAATGTTGTATGGATTGAGAAGCACTGTCAAGCAAGATATTGAACAGTTCAGGTGCCGTACACTTATTTTAAGTGCTATTTATTTGTTGTCAAATTGAATTGGTCCTAAGGCCCGTGTATGTGGTATGTCAATTTCAATTTTGGCAATCTCACATGTCTATTTACAACAAATTTTCTACAGTATGTGACAAGTTTTCGACTTTCTAATTGCTACTATAGCTATTATTAGCCATTACACCAATAGATCGCTGTACCAACCACTTGCAAGTGCTCAAGTTACTTTGCAAAATTTTCTTTAATAGTTTTGTTTGTGGAAACACCACGTAAATTTATTACTGCAAAGCTTTCGATCCGTAAGCCCGGATCTTCATCAGTGCTAATAATATGTGACTTGTTTAATTCACACGCTCTTTTTATACAGAGTGTATATAAAAAAGGAGACCTTTAGAAATCAAGCATATTGTTAAAATTTGAATGCCTTTTCAATTGCACATATGCAGAACCGTGGTGCGCGAAATATTGATAGAGTGCATATATTAGAAAAAGGAGACCTTTAGGAATCAACGATTGTTATAATTTGAATCCTGGAGCACTTTGCTAAGCCTACGAGTGCGTAACATGCGATCTAATCTACGTATAGTATGCATGGCAGATTGTTCCCAGGAGCAGACAATCTTTTGTTTAAACGTTATTTCAATTTCTAAAGGTCTCCTTTTTCTAATATACAGGGTGTCTCAAAAAAACCGCTACCCTTGGAAATTCACCATTGTTCTAATTTGAATGCCTGAGTGCTATCTTGAACTCATGGGTGGATGAACAATTTGAATGGAATTTTATGCTTGAGAAGTTATTATGTAATTGAACGATTTTCGTGCAGTTATACTTTTGTATGAACCTACTTTCAATTC